AAGTTTAAATTTAAATTTAAAGAAAATTTAAAGAAATTTAAAGAAAAACCTACCTACTAAAATACAAACACATAAAACTGAAGGCATAATTAATTTTTAGGGGAGTTAATTTCACCCACAGTAAATAATCATTTTAAAATTTCTTTTAGGGCGCCTAGGTGGCTCAGTTGGTTAAGCAACTGCCTTCAGCTCAGGTCATGATCCTGGAGCCCCTGCATCGAGTTCATTGCTTGCGTAGAGTTTGCTCTCCCTCTGACCTCTCCACTCTCATGTTCTCTCTCTCTCATTCCCTCTCTCTCAAATAAATAAAATCTTTAAAATAAAATAAAATAAAATTTCTTTTAAAAAAACTTCAAAAATGTTCTAAAAATAAAATTTGTCATAAATTATACAATATGTCTCTAAGAAATGGCAATCTAAGTTTTAGAAAGATATGAATGATAGAAAAATTAAAAACATATATGCCAATAGTTTAAAATTTTTCCAACCATAAAAACTTCCACCAGTGATGCCCACATAGCTCAAAAAATTAACTCATTTTACTTTCCTTCTCATAAAGATAATTTGGCCTAGTGAACTATCAAAATAACAAACATGAGCTATTCCATATTACTAAATAATTTATCAACCAATTGGCAAAAGTTTTGAGCAAAACTCTCTTTGCTTTGAAACTAAAATAAATGCTAAAATATATAGTAATTCTCAATTTCCCAATGAGGAGAAATATACCAAAAATCGCATATATGTCCATAATCTCTATATTCTGGGGCCAGTGCTGATAAGAAATGCATTTATATCTACTTCAAAATAAAAACCTTCTTAATGGTTAATCATCATCAAATGCAAATGACTTAATTATCAGGAGTGTGACATTTATGTAAAATTTCGTCTTATAAATTATAGTATATTCACCATTTAATATGAGGATGAATGAATTAGAACTACATGCTCCAAATATGTTAGGTGAAAAATGCCAGAAATAAGTATACATGCTGCATAATTCCATTCTATAAAGTATCAAACAGGCAAAAGTAATCTATGGTGTTAGAATAGTGGTTACATACAGTTTGGGCAGGAGGGTGGTGACTAGAATTGGAGCAAGGAAGGCCCTTTGAGGTACTGATAATATTGTTTGTTAATATGGGTGCTGATTACATCAGTTCAGTTTATGAGACTTCCATCAAGCTGTAGATTTACATGCTTTTTTCAATGTACATTATACATCAATTAAAAGTATTTTCCAATAACATGCCTGATTTGGGTTTATAATTATAATTCACTTCTATAATATGCCCAATCTCATGAATGTCAGTTTTACAATATCTTATCTTTCAAAATCCCAGGTTATCCTATACCTAAGAAGTATTATTAATAGAATCTATTAATCTAGGATTCTTTAATATACAACATACTGAAATGCCTTTGTTAACAGTGATTGGAGAAAATTATTTTATCAAATGTGACAAAGGTCTTACGTTCATAATGTAAAGAACTCATCAAATTGGTAAGAAAAACATGATGATCATGGTAGGTAGATGGGCAAAGGACATGAAAAGATAATTCAGACAGGAAGAACAGAATAGAATAGAATTCTGTTATAAATAGAATCTATTTAAGTAGGACAGTTCTTTATGTTTTAAGATATTATCTATTTACTTGACAAACAAGAGATCACAA